TTTGGTTACGGCAATCGATGTACTGTATATTTTTAAAATATTTAATTTTATTCCCTTAAAAGAATCACTTGGTTTGTTGAGATGAAACGATCGCTTTTATTTTTGAAGAATCGAAGAAAAAAAAAAAAATACTAAATCAATTAATATCTTATAAATATTATTATTATCATGATCCTAATCATGATGTCACGATTTTCGAAACTTTTTTGGGTAGCGATTTTACCCCGGTCAAGAATCTACGAGATATAAGTCCAAAACATTAAATTTACAGTCAACAAACCTAAACAAACTACAAGAACCAACGAATTTTTAAATATTAAACCCGGATCTTTGGCTACTAAAACGCTTGTACATATTCAAATTAAACGTTAGTAATAAGGTTCATTTGAATCTAACGAAATAAAGCAGCTTAAGCAAGGCATTTCTGTTACCTTACTCTACAGTATAACTTTGCACGGCCCAATAGGTGACAGTATATTTTGCCTTCTAAGCAAAGTTCGTCATTTTTGAGATTATTTTGAGATTATTTTTTACAGTGAATACTGACATTCGTTTAAAGCGAAAAACAACTTCGTGGTAATTTTTTATTAGTGAAACGTTTCAATCTCAAAAAGTACTCTAAAATGTATAAAATAAGCCTATTATGATAAAAAGAAACTCTAACGCTAATTTTATGATCTACCCGTGATATCTATTTTAGTATCGGTATAGTAAGTAGAGTATATATCGACCAGTAACTTTTCTGATGTAGCCCACACTTTCTCAACGGGCCGGGCCGGGCCCGGGCCTAATTTTAAGATGAGCCCGGCCCGGCCCACTGTTGCGGGCTTTTTTTTTTTTTATGGGCCGGGCTTGGGCCCAAAAATATTTTCGGGCTTTGGTTTGGGCTCAGCAAAGCCCGGCCCGGCCCGGCCCATTTCCCACCCTAGATCATATTACTGCATTTTCCGTCATCTATCAAGCTATGGAAGAGGATCCATGGATCCAACGAGATATTTTAAGAAATATAGTAACAAATGCCGTTAATTTGGCAAAGGATTCATATTCTAATAATATAAGAGCACAAAATAGAGTTCTTGCTGTTTCTTTACAGGTTAGTTATAAAATATAAAAGAATATTTGTTATAGCAGATGATGAGTGGTGCCTTTTATCAGTAATAAGTTTTTGAACTCGTGAGAGTTAGCCTGTGGGGTTTCCTATTCAACATGATATTTTAGATTCAACTCTAAAAAACATGAGGTTACTCTGGGTATTCGATGCCTGCTAGTACTGAATTCAACTTCACCAACGCATGGGGGTGCTCTGGTTTTCGTCTTGCAAGTTTTAAAAGCTTACGTGTAGAAAACAAAGTTGCTTACAATGTGTAGGCCACACAGAGATGGTAACTTTGTATATATCTCTGATGACACGAGCTCGTGATTTTTTATTGGATTATTTTATCGATAACTAATAAAATAATATTTTTTATGCACCAGTTCGACATTGCCTTTGAAGGTGTTTGTAGCCTTCGTAATATCGAAGCAGAAAAAGAAATTGAGCAAATCAAGAAAAATATTAGAGAATTAAAAGGAAAACTTAAAGTATATATAATCAATATCAATATATTTAATGAAATTATCTTTCTAAGATAAATATATTTTGTATTTATAAACTATTTTTAGGGAAAATCCTCCTCATTTGCTAGAAAAATCTATAAATATTTAGATAGTGTAGAGCTTGATAATCTAAAATGGCAAAATCCGTTGGCCAGCCAAGTGATTACCGATGAATTTGTGCAAAATTTATCTAAGGAGTCCGGAGATGGAAATGTTTATAAAAGTTTCAAAGAGCCATTAAATTGTATGCAAATAGATGCACCATCCAATATCAGGGAGATATGTAATGTATTTATTGAAGATTTTAACAAAGATGAGATTGAGATCCTTCCACCAAAATATCTACATAACCATACTTGGAGAGAATCAAGTGAAGAATTAGCTAACATCACTAGTGAGATTTTAGAATCTCTAAGCGATATCTGGAGAAACCCTGCATTTGAAGCCAATATTGCAAAAACACAAAGCGAAGGAATTTACATGACGGATGTGATCGTTCCTTTGCTTCGAGCATCATTAAAAAAACTTCCAATCAGAAATACCACCTTTCTTAGCATGTAAGATTTTTTTTTTGTATATACTACTATAATACCTTTCTAGTCTTATAATTTATTTTTTAATTTAGTGCAGAACGTCAAAGCCAAGCTAGTGCGGATAGAAAAGGTGGGGAAAACAAGGGTAAACGACCCGATATAATGCTCATAGAAGAATATAATGGTAAGTTATATGAACTTATATTTGCAGAATGTTCCCGGTTAATATGTTCTAAACGAAAAGAAGACGATGATAAAATAAAACTATGGCGGGAGATGAATGATGGGCTTTATTGGACTTATAGTGGGTGCAGGCCCAATAAAAATCAATTTGGGGTTATCGGAGTGCAAATAGCCGGGGATACGTTGCATCTTAAGATTATTATTAAAGACATGGATGATATCCACCATCTTTATAATTTATATTCAGTTAAAATTCCTGTAAGACCAACTGATGGTGAAGGCGTATTTCAATTTATAGAGACCCTTTTAAATTTAAGAAATATTATAATTATAAACATGTCGTTATTATACCATTCCGCCGATGTTAGATTCCAACGACTTAGAAAGCAAAGTTCAAATGTATCTACTCCTCCACCATAATTGTTATTTTATTTTATATCATATTAATAAAGCTGGCTCGATTTTATATCTATAATCGCATTTACTTTTGCGTGTATATTGAATGAATTTATTTTATTGTATTGTTATTGATGTATATTAACTCGCATATGATCGAAGATTTTTCTTGGCAAAAGTGATCAGCGTGACAAATTGTCACGCGCACATGATTTTGGGCGAACATTTTTGGTGAATTGTTCGCTGAAATTTCGCCAAGAAAAAAAAAATAATATATACACATATACATTACACTTTTTGAAATTTTAAACCTATATACATGAAAATGTTTCTGGTTAAACTGACATCTGGATATGTTGACAATTTTTTTTATTGCTAAAGAGTGTCGGTATAACCAGAGTTTCGTGTGATTAACCTTTTGAATATATCCACATTTTGTAATAAAACAATGTCGAACAATCAATTAACAATCAATACCTTGAGAGAATTAAACTCTAGGCTTGCATCCGAGATTACTGAACTTAGAAAAGAGAATGCCGAAATTCCAGAACTTAGAAAAAAATTTTCTGAAGTTGAGGCTGAGAACATCGAACTTAAAGCTAAGAACGTAAAATTAAAACAAACTTTGGAAGAACATGAATCCAGATTTGTGAAACTGGAGCAGAATGATAAAAATACTGCTGTTGAAAATGCTGAGCTTAAAGCTAGAGTCGCGAAATTAGAACAGAAGCAATCGCAAACCAATGAAAAGAATAACTTTATTGTTAAATCAGATAATGATGCCAAGGGAATCGATCAATCTTCAATTAATACCATCTATACCAAAATGAAAAATTCTAACGATACTCCGGCATCTAATATATCTGATAATACTTCAAATTCTGATGATGTATCTAACTTCGATATATGCCAGGAATCGGAAAACCAATATCTCACATCTTCTACTCTTATAGGGCCTAAATCATCGGAAGACATGGAAATTGACGATTTCCTAGATTCAACATATAAAGAAAAGGTTAGTAAAGAGATAATTCAGAGTATTAGAGAGAAGAAATTTCGAGTTCAAGAGAAAATCATAACTTCTCAGGATACTAAATCTTCTTTGAGTATAAAAGGCGGGCAGGGGTTGATCCAAGAATTATTTACTCCAGAGCCATTTCTACAAGAATCAAATATAATTCAAAACCATACGATTGGAATTTCTGAGACTGGCAGTCCCGGAAAATCTAACATTGACGAAGCATCGCAACATCTAGCTCAGTTATGTGATAAAGCTTTTGATGCTGAGGATGGTGCAAATAGAGCTAACCAAGAAGAAATCTTATGTTGGTCCATCTATGGAAAGGATTTCAGGGTTCAGTTCAATAAGATTATTAAAAATAGCAGAGGTAAAATTGGTGAAAAAAAGGCGAGAAGCTTACTTTATGATTCCATTACAAAACAGCTTTCTATTATCCGTAAAAAAAGATCTCAAAAATTGGGTTTACATCTTCCAGAAATATCACGAGATGCTTTGCGCAAAAAAACTCAGAGAGCTGAGAAAATTTATATATTATTCGAAAAAATAGGCCATGATAAAATCAAATACATTAAATCATATAGTGCGAATTCTATTTCAAAGCTTACTAATGATCAAATTCAAGAGATTATAAATTATTCTTGTCAGAACGTCGATACAGATAATGTAGGACATCAAATTTCATCCGAAAATACTGAAATTTTGGCCCGTCTCGGAAAAATCTTACCCATACCTGAAGATTCATCATCCACACCAGCTAAGGCAGAGACCAATATCGACTATGATGATGTATATTTTGATGAAGAATTTGATGATGATGTGTATTTTGATGAAGAGATTGCTTCGCGATCAGATAAGGTAGAGCCGGGCCAAAGAAGTTCTTCGAACCAGGCGCTTTTACATGATGATAGTGACCATAGTCACAACAATGATTCTGAAGAAGAGATGCTAGATGAATCGGATGACGATAGATATAGTGGGTGCGGTGGATATAATGAATATGGCAAATCTGATAGAGGTTATTATTATGATTTAAGTAGCGGGAAAAAAACTTATAAAAATTCTGATTATATAATTAGCGCATATTAATATGCGATTGTCTAAATATTGGAAGCCTTGTACTGGAACTCCAATAGTAACCGTAATAGTATAGATTAACAGTCTCTACTAATTAATAATCGCAAATTGCATTGTAAAAATCACGTAAAAAAAATGGTGGGACACGAAACCCCTTCTCTTTATTTCATAAAAATTATTGCCGGGACGACAATATACAAATAAAAAAAATATTTATTTTT